GGGGGGGGGGGGGGGGGCTGAAATTTTCCCCCCGGGTTTGGGGCCCCCCCCCCCCCTTCGGGGGTTTCCCCCCCCCGTGTCTGCTTCTGCCCCCCCCCCCCCCCCTGCTGGCATTTAAGCTCAGGCTACGGCCCTGTACATCAATAAATGTTATTACCTATAGCCCTGCGTATCTGTACCAATATATTACTCTTTTAGAACCCAACGAGGCAGAAAATTATTCATCTTTCGTCTTAGCTCTTGATGTACTTACTTCGAACTTCAAATATTTAGACTTCATTTATTTTTTATTGTTTATCCGTAGTTAATGACAACCCCAAAGTGATAAACGGCTGATAAACCGACCTTGTTTAAAGCTTTCAAGACTCTAGATAAGAACATTTTGCATAAATTTAATTAGTACACCCAAAAACAAGAATGACAGCAGCAACGCATTTTTTAAATTTCAATGCAGAAATAAAATAACTTTTCATTTATTCATCCAGTATCATTAGGTGTGGGTGTTGATAAAGAATAAAATTAAGATCTTTAAAACTGAATCATTATCATAATTAAGCTATACAAATATGCGCATCGTAATCACGTGACAATGCTCCTGACGTGTATTTATTTGGCTAAAGGGAGGAGAAGACGTGACTGTTCATCAGCGCACAAATTCCCAGTTATTTAGCAGGTAAATTTCAACTTTTAAAGAAACGTACATGCACACGTACTTAGGACATTGTTTTTTTTTCTGTATATCTGCTATAATATATTAACGGTTAATGGTACAACTTGGAATCGAACATCGATCATCTCTAAAATAAGAGATCGCAGATTGAAGGTTGTCGGCCATTTTTATCATCAAACAGAAGCAGCAGCAAATAGATTTCTGCTCTGGGCACCCACACAAGGCCACATCTCCTAAGGAACAAGAATGATATTCATGTACCTTTTTACATTTTAAGACGGATACTTATATATAAACGAAATGCGTCTTCAAGTGTCAGGCCTGTTGCAGGCATCGACGATCATGGTCCCCAAGTCTACTCTCTTTTTCAGTCAGTTGGATGAGCTCGTTGTTGTGCTGTTATTGATTTGTTGCAAAGGCATTGAGGCTATCTATATATACATTTATAATGTTATTTGTCTTCCTGTACCTCTGGTAGCTTAAATTTTCACACATAATTTTTTTCTATTCCATTTTTTCTGATTGTTTGGGCCATGTTATGTACGTTTACATATACATATGAGATGAATGTCCTAAACTTATATAATTTGAACGCTTAATTCAAGCGTGGGCTTGAAATAGGACATTATGTTTTCGTCTAATTTAGTGGATAACGCGATCCAAAGATTTCACGGTTTATTGTTAGATTTACGTAAGGTCGCGCAAAGAAAACCCAAGTCCACATATTGACCACTTTAATGGTTTATTGGTTGCCGCTCCCTAACTGCATGTTCTACGTGAAGTCTCCAACTTCTAAGCCGTCTCCCATGGCTCTGTCGAGCGGTCACCTTCGAGTCTTCTTCCGTCTGAACTCCCGATATTAATTCTGAACGTCTTTTATGCAATGTTTCTTATCAGTGGTGGATTCTGTGCTGCGTTATTTGGCGGTACATACTAATTTTAATTATACAAATTGCACACGTCCACTTAAGTTACATAATTACAGGTAAGGTCAAAAACTAGTTGAGTGCACAAGCAATCGACTCTAATCAAATTAATTAAGACGTCTGTGAATTATATTTGTTAACCCTACAGCAGAGGTTTCATTTGTCTTTTTTTCCGATTGCTTTCACCACGAGCGTTGTTCTCCTGCAAGTTGCACCACATTTCTGCAGTTTCCAGTTTCTTTTATTGTTGTTGAAAATATTCCAGCATTCACAACCATGCAAGCACAAATAATTTCAATGTTTTTATTTTTGTACCAGTTGAGTTTCTGTCGTTTAGTATCGGGCTCATCTTATTAAATGTGTCTCAAGGTTACATGCACGCAAAGTAAAGTGGCATTCGTTATTTTTTCTATGACTATACATTTTTAGCACCATAAAATGTTCACGGTTTCTGCCTTAAACATTTTTCCGTGTTCTTCTCATGAGGTTAACTCTGTGACCTACCTGTATTTTATGAGCAGTTGTTAATCTTCTAACATAAGATACTGGTAGGTCTACCTCGATAAAAATCATATATTTAGGTATGGCAGGTGAACATTAAAAATTACTTAAATAGTTGTTTTAACTATTTAGGATACACATGTAATTATTTTCTCGAGTTAATAATATTAACATAATATACATAAATTATTGTAGCCCCGCGTATCTGTACCAATTTACTAAGTTCCCATCGAGGCAGAACATTAATTATATTTCCTCTTAGCTCTTGGTGTACTTACTTCGAACTTCAAATATTTAAACTTCATTTATTATTTATTGTTTATCCGTAGTTAATGACAGCCCCATTAAACTGATAAACGGCTGATAAACCGACCTTTTTAAAATCTTACAAGACTCTAGGTAAGAACGCACCATCTGAGCTTACTACGGCAACAGTCACCTAAAGACAACAATTCCAGCATGCAACGGGATTTTTTCAAATTTCAAGGCAAATATGAAATAACATTTTCACTTATTCATTTGTTCATTGTCACATCGCATTTTGCTAAAATTAAAGAATAAAATAAGGAAATTTAGAATTGAATTATCATATATAATTAAGCTATACAAATATGCATATCGTAATCACATGACCATGCGCCTGGCGTGTAGTTATTTGGTTAAAGGGAGGAGAAGACGTGACTGTTCATCAGTGCACACATTTCAAGTTATTTTACAGGTGAATTTCAACTTTTAAACACACGCACATGTACACAGGACATTCCTTTGTTATTCTGTATATGTGTTATAACACTGTGTTAGCGGTTGGTGGTACAACTTAGACACAGGGCAATCAATATATGATAGAAAATATACTTAACGCAACAGTTACAGACTTAAAGGTACACTCCATGAGATTTACCCACCAAAACGTATTTTCCTTACAAACAAGCAATTTTCTCGAGGATATAAAGGCGGATCAATATAGGAATGAAAAGGACAATGTGATCAGAAAGCAATTGATGTATACGTTAGAGTCGACTTCCTCTTTCATTTCACAGCCGTTTCAATGACGCGCCCTATATAGACGTACATGTAGTGTTGTGCGATGACCAATAAAACTATCGACCCAACCCCACTGCGAATCTTGCTAAACACAATCAGATAACCAGATGAACACGCTCCCCCTTATCTTCAACGTACTTGTTAACTTACCAGCTTTTCTGTATTCTACACAAAGCCAGGCGGAGTGAATTGAGAATGAGCCTGAATAGTACCAGTGTAACAAAATTGAGGGTCTGTGTAGCAGAGAGTCCGCCCTCCATTTAGTTTTATGGTTAGAGTAAGCCTGACCTAAGTGGGTCAAAATCTGGGACAAGGGTTACCTGCACATGTACAAATGAATAGGAAACGGACTCTATAACATGGGGGACTCTAACGTTACCCAGGTTCCCACACGATATAGCACTTGTCACATTCCTTGTTTATCAAATATGAAATTAATCATTCTGAAAGATAAAACGAGTCAAGCTTCTCTTCATGCCGCTTTCATTACAGTGTCATCTTAAGACATATGCTTTGTATGATATTTACTTTTTTCACTCTAGCATATTTTATCTCATTTTGTTATTTTTTATTTAATTTTCTTAATTTTTAATTTTGTTTACCTTAAGGATGGGAATTATGTTGCCAAATTATTTATATATATTTCTATAAATAAATAATAACTATTACACTTGTTATGGTTTTAAAGAAATAGTGAATAATCTCCTTTGATTCTGTAATTGTCTTCATTTTCACAGGTATAAGACCATGGCAGCAGCACAGATATTTCCATTTGAAATACCACGGAATGAAAAAGAAAATTATTTCCGCATGCACCTGCTCTTAGAACATGCAACGGACGTGCTTCGAGATGTTCTCAGGACTCAGCTACAAGCAGCTTATCCGGGACTGTTTGATCCCATTAAAACTGATAAACTTTTTGACATACTTGATAAGCAACAAGTCAAACATTCCTTGCTTCTGTTGAAAAAGAGAAAGGTAATAAACTCGAGTCAAATGAAACTCCTGTACCCCTCTGGCAACCCTTCAACAACTGTGACAACACAGGACTTAGATATTACACTTGCAGTTGTTTTCTTAAGAAACATCACCAATCTGAACCCTCGTGCTACATGGGAAAACCCACCAGCTTCCGACACCTCCATAGAGGCCAACATTGGTAGAGTGAAGACCTACCGCAATCGGCTCTCGCATGGACATCATCTTGGCATCACTGACACAGCATTTCAGACAGAGTTTGATGCCCTCAAGCAAGTCCTGCTGTCACTGTCCCCAATATATAGCAGCGATGATTACGACAAGCTACTTATTGTGCCTCTGGATGCTAAAGGTAATTAGTTTATTTAAAGCAGTGTTCAGCAAAAAGAAAAATAATACAATTTGTTTATAGGTACACTGTGAAACATTACCTTTTTTCTCGATAGCATACTGGCAGCAGGGATGCAAGTTATTTACCGTGAAAAAATGGTAGCAAAATAGTTAACGGTATTTTACTGTGATTTAACGGCAGTTTAAAATAATACTGTTAAATATTTCTGGTACTGTACCATAGAGAATCACGGTAATATTAGTAGAATTTAGTAGAGTTACCGTTTATTTTCACGGTATTTTACTTTCAATCATCAAGTATCGTACTATTAATTACCTGCTATTACTGGCCTTTTAACAGTTTCGTTCCCAGCACTGTTTCCGAATTAAATAGCTTTATATGCTGTGCGAATGGCCTAAAACTGTCTTCACAAGGATTTGAACCCTGGGCTATGGCATGGTTTTCCAGTGGTAACTGCTGGCCAACAGTGTCAGCCATCTGACTTGAGCTGCTGTATACAGTGTATCATGCGAGTCTAAAATGCATTAAAACATTCAATCTAAGCATAAAAAATACATAAAGGCATCCTGTACAGTCACTTTCAGCATCGAAACATCTTACATGTACCGTCTATGTTTATGCCCTTGTCCTGCCAGTCTAGATCCCTGAATTTAGGTTCCAATGCTGCTGTGAACAGTTTGGGAGAGATTGTATCTCCTTGGCGTACACCTTTCTTGATCCTGATCTTATTGGTGGTCTTGTGTACTTTGACTGTTACAGAGCTATCGGTGTATACATGTATGTCTCTGAGGACGTCTATGTATCCATCTTCGATCCTTAGATTTTTCAGGGATGCCAGTATATACTGGGATTCTACTGAGTCGAAAGCTTTTTCATAATCAATGAATGCTACGCATAGTGGAATGTTATACTCGAGACATTTCTCTTTGAGCTGGTTGACATTGTGCATATGATCAGTAGTGGTGTACTGGCCTCTGAAACCTGCTTGTTCATTTGGCTGCGCTTCATCTAGTTGTCTTGTTAGCCTTTCGGTCATCATTTTGGTGTAAATCTTGTACAAATTAGAAAGTAGGCAGATGGGTCTGTAATTCTTAATGTCTTTACTATTGCCCTTTTTGAACATTATGATCATGTTGGCGTTCTTCCATGCTACAGGAATTTCCTTCAGATGTAAACACTTTGTGAATAGCCTGGCTAATCCCTGAGATAGGATATCTCCTCCTGCTTTTACCATTTCTGCTTTGATGTTGTTATTTCCTGCTGCCTTCCCGTTCTTCATTTTCTGGACTGCTGACTCTACTTCCCTAGCTGTTACGTCTGGTAGATCGCATGCCTTTGTTGAAATTTCTATTCCCTTGTTGCTGTCATACAACTCTCCATATAATTCTTCTACTCTTTCTAATTTTTGGTCTTGTGTGGTGAGCTCATTTTCATCTTTGTCTTCAAGAGTCAGTATTCTATCCTGCCCTAGTTGAAAGGATCTCTTTGCTCTTTTCATGCTCTTTCCATTTTCGATGGTCTCTGCTATCTTCTTCATGTTCTGCTTCCTGATGTCTTCCCTTGCCTCCTTCTTCTTCTTCTTCTTCTTGAGTATGCACAATTTAATGGAAACAAAAAAAAAGCATTTTTGTATTTGTTATTTTCAGTTGCCCCATGTCAGCTCCTCTCAGTACAGCTACCAGGAAAACTTGCTGACCTTAAAGGCCGTGAAGAATTGGTGCAACGAATAAAGCAGCACATTGCAGGTGAAACCCGACTTGTTCTTCTAACTGGGATGGGGGGCATTGGGAAGACATCGGTGGCTATCGAGGTCGGGCATCAAGAACAAAATGTACTGTATTTTGATATGAGACAAGCCACTAACCTTGAATCTGTCAAGTTAGCTCTAGTTCAGCACTACCACCCAACACGATCCCTGAAAGATTTATACAGTGATTATCAAAATATACTCATACAAACTTTGTCTAGTTTAACTTCAGACACTGTTATCATTTTTGATAACAACGATGAGGTTATTAAGTCAAATTTGCAGGACTTTCACAGCTTGCTTCAGAATGTTTTAAATTCATCAAAGCATATCACTTTGTTGTGTACCAGTCGTGAAGCATTCAGTCTTTTGTCACATAATATGGCTGTTGCAGAAGTACCCCACCTTGATAAGGCCTCCTCCATTGATATCCTTTGGGAAGGAAAACCCACTAGTCCCACTGATAGTGAGTCATTAGTGTTAGGTGAAATAGCAGAGAAATGCGGGGGGAACCCCCTTGCGCTCAAATTATTAGCAGTTCAACTCAAGAAAAAAACTGCGCAGAGAGTATTAGATAGGATGAAAAACAAAAATGTTATTGAAAGCCTTAAGGTAGCAAATCTTCCAGCTTCTCAAGAAATGATGGCATGTCTGGATATGTCTTATGAAACACTGAATACTGAAGAACAGAAAGTGTTTCGGGCTTTGCACATATTTCCAATTTCATTTACCTTGGAAGAAGTTTCAGAAATGTTAGAAATAGATGAGGATGAATGTGAATCTATCCTTGACAGTCTTTGCAACAAATCCCTTCTTAGTTCAGATCCTAGATTCTATGATCTCCACCCCTTATTGAGATCTTATGCAGCGTTTCGAGCTGGAACACATCAAAATGAAATATCTCGCATACTAAATGCGTACTGTAAACTTTACATGAAACAAATGCCTGATCTGGTATTGGAATGCGATATCAGTTCGTCCAAGGAAACGTATGAGAAAGTTAAAAAAATACTGCCACATTTTAAGGTTATAGCTAGGTGGCTGTCAGAAGAACTCCATGATAAAAAAACGGCATTATTACAAGGTAGTCTGTTTTTAATTGCATGTATATTTCAAAGCGTTTTCTTATACCCTGAAGCATTAACCATACTTCAAATGTTGGAATTACGGGATGAAAAATATTTTCTGTTTGAAGGAATTGGTCCAATTATCTATGTCAAAATTGGTGAAGTGCTGCAAGGAATGGGCAACTATAAAGAGGCGCTTACATATTATGAGAGATATCTTAAAATCCTGAAAGAAATCTTTGGTGAGAAACACCCCTGTGTTGCAGAGGTGTATATTAATATCGGTGGTGTACTAAAAAGTATGGGTCATTACACAGAGGCACTTAAATATTATGAGAAAAATCTTGAAGTCCTTGGTGAAGAACACCCTGATATTGCTACGACATACTTGAATATTGGTAATGTACTATGTGCCATGGGTAAGTATGCAGAGGCACTTACATATTATGAAAAATGTCTTGAAACTCAGAAAAAGAAAGTTGGTGAGAAACACCCTGCTATTGGTTGGACATACTCGAATATTGGCAGTGCACTACGTGACATGGGTAAGTACACAGAGGCACTTACATATTACGAGAAATTTCTTGAAATCACGAAAGAAATACTTGGTGAGAAACACCCTGGTACTTGTAGGGCATACCACAATATTGGCAATGTACTATGTGACATGGGAAAATACCCAGAGGCTCTTACGTATTATAAGAAATATCTTGAAATCATGAAAGAAATACCGGTAGTTGGTGAGGAAAACCCTGATAACGGGACGACATACCAGAATATTGGTGTTGCACATTGTGGCATGGGTAAGTACGCTGAGGCACTTGCATATTTTCAGAAATCCCTTGAAATAAGGAAAGCAATATTTAGCGAGAAAAGCTCTGAGACTGCCGAGACATACATTTTTATTGGTACTGCACTAGAACATATGGATAAGGACCTAGAGGCACTAACATATTATGAAAAATGTCTTGAAATTCAGAAAGAAATACTAGGTGAGAAACACCCTGATACTGCTAAGGCATACCAACATATTGGCAGTGCACTATGTAAGATGGGTAGGTACCCAGAGGCACTTCCATGTTATGAGACATCTCTTAAAATCATTAAAGAAAAATTTGGTGAAAAACATCTTGCTACTGCTAAGATATACCGGGATATTGGCAGGGCACAATACCTCATGGGTAAGGGCCCAGAGGCACTTCCATATTGCAGGAAGTCTCTTAAAATCATAAAAGAAATGTATGGTGACAAACATCCTGATGCTGGAGAGACATACCTTTATATTGGCAATGCACTATATCACATGGGTATGTACGCAGAGGCACTTACATATTATGAAAAATCTCTCGAAATCTTTAAAGAAATCTTTGGTCAAAAACATCCCGATACTGCTGCGTCATACCTAAAAGTAGGTCAAACACTAAATCGCATGGGTAAGCACTTTGAGGCACTTAGTTGTTATACGAAATCCCATGAAATCTACGAAGAACATTTTGGACCCAACCATGACCAAACAAAGACTCTGGATAATAGGGTCTGTGTAATAAAAAAGTTTCTATTGAATAAAGTGCTGATGAATATGAGCAAATATCTTGCCAGTGAATTGATAGTTAAACGCGAGTTTCACCAAGCAAGTCAGATTTTAGGTTTTATTGGTTGGGATTTCAATTTTTATTACAAATTTTAATGAAATCTTTACAATTTGTTGACGTGCATGGTGTTCAATATATGTTTCACTTTGGGATGTTCACGAGTGGGGATGATATCTGAGATGATTACTTTTTTATCAGTGTTTGTCTGTTAGTGATGTTCGTCACTAATAAATCCCCTGTCACACAGGGCTCCGGTGTACGTCATGCTAAGCCTTACTGTATGAATCTAATAGAGGACGTGCTCTCTGCTACACGAACCCTGTTTCTTCCTTTTTAATCTACATCCCAAACAGATAGGAGCTTCCAGTTTAAACCCGTAGTGCATCGTCATATGTATATCATGTGATATATCCTCAAGACTTTCCAGTTAAATACGTAGTACATCCACATATCTATACGATGTGGTACCTCCCTGTGATTTTTGTCAAAATTTTCCAGGCTACAATATATATAGGTGTACCGTTTTTCCTGACTAATCTGATCTTAACATATAGTTCGGACTTCACAGAAATCGATCATCTTACCATGGCAAAGCCACATTTTCACATTCATCCTCAACTATATGATGGAGATTTGCTTCATTTAATTTCAAAGATCTAAACAAGAACAGTGTTTTTTGGAGGGTTATAAAGTGTGTTGAACTATTTCTTGTATGTCAGACAAAGCAGATAATAAGCATTCGTTTCAACTTAAAGGTCATTGTTAAAAAATTGAAATACACGTACATTTAACATTTAGCAAATGTACAGTCATCTAGACATAAGTTCACCAGACCTAACTGGCGCATATTACTTTAAAATTCCACGTCGCTGGCAGATACAGATAAGTGACGCTTAGAATTTCTCTTCTCCCTCCAAGGGGAAATATGAGACTCACGATCAGTTCCTTACAAAATGGGAAGAAACAACAGACCCTACAACCAAAGCACTGTAACATTCCGACTTTTTTTTTTTTTTTTTTTTTTTTTTTTTGCATATCAATATATTCAGTTAAATGATGACATTATGGGTCTCCTACCTGCTACGATATCTTGAATCTGCCAGCGCACGTGGTTTTATATCCAAGTGTTCTTATCAAGTTTTAAGGTTGAACAGTTTTATTTGTTGTTTGTTTTTGATTAACATGCTGCTTTTCGTTGGTCAATAGCTTAAGAGCTAATTAACTAAATTTATCAACTAAAATTTGATCTGCTGGCTGGTAAATTAAGTTAATTTATCTGTACCTATTGATAAATGAAACTGTGTTTGTTTATCAAGTTTTAATGTTATCTAACAACACGTATTCTGATATATACCCTTATCAGGCATAATTCAACAGCCGATTTGCTTTGTTCACTTGTGTTATTGTAATGTCAGATGTGTGATGAATATTAAGTATATAGGGTCAAAGTCCGGATGCTGATTTAGATGTTTTTTCATAGCTTGTACTTAGACAGGGTGAGACAGTGGTCATACTTGTAGTTACACTGTAACTCGGTGAAAACCGTTTGAATTTACCTGTATATACTTTTTAAAAGTTATTACTATATATCTGCACAAAATGGATGCTAAGGTGTTGTGTGAGCAAACATGACGAGAGAACTTTATGTTATCAATGCTGTTGATATTTGCAGATGATTAATGCACTGATAAATGTACTCTAGTATTACAATCTGTATAGTAATAACGGATCAGTCAAAGTCTCCTTTTCACGGTTTTCTCCCAAACTACAACGTTAGTGATACCTTACGGCAGTGGGAAGATTGAGTCCGTAATTTGAATTTGATTATCACTATAAAAAGTATATTTTGAAGGTGTTTTTAGCCTTCGGCAATTTCCGTAAATCTTCGGCATGTATGGCAAGTATCATATGTTGTCAATCACAAGGGGTGGATTGAGGGTTATTTTCAAATTATCTTTGTTTATCCATCTTCCATTTTTGACCGTCTTCCGACAGAAAAAAAAAAAACATTGATACCCGTCAGTGTAAATTTGATAATCCAGAAGACGGCCTGAATCCAACCCTGATAGCACTCTTCAAGATAACAGGATTTGATGGGCCAGTGAAAACGCCTGCGGTTTCCAAACACAGCGGAGTGAGTTCGATTCCTACTCTTTTTTTAAATCATTGTTATGGTGATTAATATGACTGTATCAGCTAGTGTAGTTCTTATTTTATTATGATAAATTATACTATGATGTGATATTACATGACATCATAAATAAAGTATACTATGATGTGACATTACATGGCATCATAAATAAATTGTGTACTAGTACATATATGTTACAAATGTAAACGAAGTAAACTTCATATTATTGTTGTCAGATGTGTCACTTTTGTCAATTAAACATTATTATTTCTCATACCGTTTTATGTTGTATGAAAGTTCTGAGATTAAGAAAAGTCACACCTAATTATTTCTCGAACTAAGAATAAATTAAAATCATTTGGTCTCTTGGGGTAACCCTTGATAAAAATACCCGTGGATTGCTATCATTTGTCTGGACAAAGACTCCGATTGCCACAAGAACGATACCAATATTTTACTTTACGTATAATAGCACTATTGGCGCTCTTAGCTTTTGATAAAGACTGACAATAATGCGTGCGCCTGCGCTTTCCACGATAACTAAGAACTGTAGTATCAGGCCCGTAGCCGGGGGGGGTTCGGGGGGGTCGACAGAACCGCCCNAGAAAAAGAACCCCCCTTTTGAAATTGCTGGCTACGGGCCTGGGCCCGGTTGCACCAACAGGGCGTAAATTTACTCGGCTACGACTGTCGTAAACCGCAACGCCTGGCGTCCGTGCGCCAGGTTTACTCTCCCTGCTTACGTCCGTTGCACCAAGACAAAAACTGATCGTCGCAACTACGCCCGTGTAACGCTCCGTTGCGTCACTGGCCAACAATACATGGATGGTATAATTGGGCAAATGAGGAGTTCTCAGCTACAGTCATAATGGAATGATGACATAAATAAACACAAAAGCAGCATTTCAGTTTCTAAATCTAAATGGAGAAATTCATAAGCTACATTATTCCATTTAGATTTAGAAATAAGAACGTTTAAATACGTTAACTTTGCTGTTGCCTTGGATATATAGCAATAAAATCGTAAATATATATCGAATCAAAATATTATTATAGTAGGCTATGTATGCTATTATAGTATGCTGTTGTAAATGAGAAAAACGCGTTGGAGGCAGTACGTATTTCTATTAATGGATTTGAACACCTTCACATTTGTTATCGAAACTTTTGAGTCTGAAAATAATGCAAAAAATCCAGCATTGCTTTCTTTTTATAATTTTACAACAGTGCCGACAATTTCATGACCTTTTTTTTTTATCTAAGGTTACACCGTGAGGTATCATTTAATTAAATCGAGCTTACATCTTGGAGATTGAGAAATACAAGAGACCTAATACATATTATATGAGCTCAAAATGTTGATATTTTAAGCTTTCGTTTCTATGTTTATATAGTAAAATATGAATGATATAAAATGTATATATAATTAGTTTTTTTAAAAACCAAACTATACAGACGGAAGTTTTGCGTAAGAAACAAACAAATAACAACCCACATAATCTACGTTAACTACGATAATTGTCATCAAACTCTCTCTGTGCCAGCCTTGCCATAGTGCAAAACGAGCTACGACCGACTTACTCCACCTAGCTAGCAGGCGTAAATTTACGACTAAGTTAAGACCGACGTAAACACTATTCCAGTTTGGTGCAACTGGCTTTTCTCGGGCGTAGCATTTTGCGCCCGGTTTACGCCGGCGCAACTGCTACGCCTCACTTACGACCGGTTGGTGCAACCGGGCCCTGAGTATCATTGTGTTGACAACCGCAAAGTTGTATGCTGAGACTGCATTGTGACCGAGCACCGAAAACACAATCATTTTCCACTGACGGAGGTTGTATCTAAAAGATGAACGTTCTTACAGGGCATACAGGACACTCAAGTTGAAATAGATGCACAGGAGAAACGTGGAGGGGAAATAGTAGAAAAGGTTGATAACCGAGCTAGGCAATAACCTATAGCAGTTGAACACCCGTTTTCTGGCAGTAGTTATTAGGTCTTTTTCTGGCGGAGGTTGATTGTAAAAGCAAAGAAAAAATAAAGACACTTGCTTAGAAAGAGTGAACGTCCTTGTACGGGTCACACAGGGCACCCAAGTGGAAATAGACGTACAGGATAGACGTGGCGAGGAAACTGTAGAACAGGCGAGACAATAACTTATAGCAGCTGATCACGTCTTTTTTCTACAAGGGAAAATAATTGTTCTTTTAAAACTAAAAAAGTCTCCTGACCTGTCGGTGTCAACAAATTATGTCATCTATGTGCCGCCTGTGTTTGGAAGGTTTGATTATGTGGAGATATTAAAAGGAGATATGATTTCCACTGTAGGCGGACTTTATTTACGTATCATTTCGGGATAACTGTTGATTAACGGTGCAATGTATGTTACAGATGCATAAAACTATAACTGTATTTCAAGCCGATAGAGGTCAACATATGGATATTCCTCTCCAAATGTGTAAATAGCCTCAATTCTGGGACTTGTTCTTCCAGTATGGAGGCAGGGGGCAGGGTGGGTGACATGGACAGGACACGTGGGGTTTGGACGGTTGAGGGTACAACTTCGTCGTAAAGATAGAGATCGATACGATTCTGATACTTAGCCATGAAGACAGGTTTATTAAATCACTAACAACAAGTTAAAGACTAAAACAACCCACGGTGCTGATCATTATCCCGAGCTGTGACCTCGTGGTCACCGAGTCACTGGGTGACGTAAAAACTTTCCAGCATATAGCATACGTGTAGCTATTGTCAATGTTTTAAGAGACACCGAGATATAGAATAATCGAAAGCAACATTAGGGATTATCTGATGTTTTATACCATCAAAAGCCACCTTTGGGCAATGCCATACCAGTACCTGTACACATATACATCATGGCAGCTAACGTCACATTTTGTTCAGAAATACAAAAATGACGATAAATTATGACTGTACCGTACCAGATATGATAACTTTGTTCAAAGTAGTAATACAAATATACATTTCGGGATAATCTTTATGTCCTAAAACACCATACAAAGACAGTCAGTAGCATTCACAAGACTGCATATTTAGTGTACATATAATATAGTCGTGCTAAGGCATAGATACTTCTTAATTTTACTGTTTACACAGTTATCCATGTCTTCTTTTTTCACATTGAGCGCCCTAGTTACACTATTGATTACCCCCACCCGTTAAATACTTTCTGCACTGAACTGGTTTGTGTTGTCAGTTTAACAGCAGCTTTTTTTTGTTGTATTGTACAAGGGAAGACGCAAACTCCCGTTGTAATAATTGGCTATCTGGTGCGCTAGTCTGTTCCAAAAATGTTAAAAAGCATAGTATGGATGTTCGTATTGTAGTGGGGCCCTGATATCAATGGGTAGATAAATAGTGCTAGGAAAGTCATTGGTGATTCAACCGTATAGATTGCACGCGAGGAGTTATAAACCCTTTGTTCATATAACTCATAGGACTCGAGGACAAGCGATTGTTTTGAAGACAAAGCGAAACATCGTCTAGTCAACCGACAAAAGTGTTTAATGTACACATACAGAAAATTATTATCATTAATCACCACTTACTTAAATGAGAAAGTGTGATCGTGGACCCGGGCAATACAGTTAGTTGTGAAGAAAGCCTTAACATGTACCTTTAACCACTAAAGTTCGAAGATCGACTTGGCTTACACAAATTTGCCGCGAAAAATCTTATGCTACTCCCACCATGCGTCCGTTAAATAATTTATTGTATTTTCTTTTTGCTCATTATATCTTATTCCTCTTTTGAATATCACAAAGGAGGGAAATCAATAAAACACTCAACTTAAAAAATTAATCGAGGTCGGCATCACCGATCTTTAGCAGGAAAATGAGATAAAGTGATTTTTCTGTTTACACGGTTATCCATGTCTTCTTTTTTTTTACATTGGGCGCCCTAGTTTCACAATTGTTTACCACTACCCGTTCAATACTTTCTCCACTGAACTGGTTTGTGTTGTCAGTTTAACAGCAGCTTTTTTGTAGTATTGTTCAAGGGAAGACGCATACTCCCGTTGTAATACACTCTAGGCTTTCTGGTGCGCTAGTCTGTTCCGAATGTATTACAAAGCATAGTATGCATTTTGTACGTATTGTGGTGGGGTCCTGATATCAATGGGTAGATAAATAGTGCTAGGAAAGTCATTGGTGATTCAACCGTATAGATTGCACGCGAGGAGTTGTAAACCCTTTATTCATATAACTCATAGCACTCGAGGACAAGCGATTGTTTTGAAGACAAAGCGAAGCATCGTCCAGTCAACCGACAAAAGCGT